ATAATCATATACATATTAATATTTAAGTTAAGCCAACACCCAAGTAAGACAAAATGTTACGTTACTACTTTGAAGTTTTGTTTTTAAGTATCAAGAGTGTTTGCAGCATTTGCTCCCATAGCAGCAGTGTGACATGGTAGAATGCTCATATGCTTTGGAGTCTGACACACTTGAGTCCAATCTCATTCAATTATTGCTGTAGACCCAGTATAAGCTGAGTGACCTAACAGTAGTGAATGGACCTCTCTGGTCCTGGTTATTTGGCCTGTAAAATGTATATATCAAGGCCTACTTTGTACATGTGTTGCTGTGAGGATTAAATGATCATGGTTAGTAAAATGCCCGCCACTGCCAGGACCCCAACAGGCACTCAAAAATGGCCCTCATTATAGTGACTAATTATCCGTTTTTAGACAACCAGATTTTATAGATCTTCACTTTAAACAAGTTACATCAATGATCAATTTTTGGCACAACAGTCTTTATAAATTAAGATGTATTCTAAGTTTGGTTAATCTCAATGCCAACTGTGGCACAACTCTATGGAGACTGGGCAAGATAAAACCCTAAGTTCTGTTTCTGGAATTTTTTCTAATGACGATGTCCTGAAAATTCCATTTCCACCAATGGTGAGAGCCCTGAAATGCTGAAGTAGAGATGACTATAAGGACTGATATACTAGGACTCTGTCAGGTGATTAATAGGCTAAATGCACAGTCTCCAAACATAACCACTGCTTCTCTTGCTTATTGACCACTTGTAGTTTTTAAAAAGAATATTTTCAGTTTGAAAAACTGAAAAAAAAGTTTGTAGTCAAGCCTGACTTTATGACTTAATTTCTTCAGCTTATTCTCTTGAAAAAAATACAATAATGCCTTAAAACACCTGAAGAGTGATTGAGTGGGGGTAAATATATAGCTTTGCATAGGACCAACAAATACATCATGGATTCTCCATAAATAAAATAAACAACAGTTTACTCTCTTGGAAATAATTTGAAAGGGACTAACTGGATTTAATAAGAAAGACAGTGAGGCCACATGAGGAAGCAGAGCTAGACCAGAAGATAGTCCGGCTGCCTGATTTGGGAAGATCATTTACCTTTCCTCATTCTCACTGCCATCTCTGTAAAGTGGGGATAATGCTTTTTCATCCTCCTTACTCCAAAGGGTTGATATAAAAGAGGAAAACATACTAGCGTCTGGGAAAGGGCTTTTAAAACTAAATATATTGTTTTTTTGTTCTCAGCAACAGTGGGATAGACAAGCCTCCAGGAAACAACAATGAAAACAAGCTAAATAGCATGTTTCTTAAAAATATCTTTGAAAAAAAAAATATATATATATATTTGAAGACAACAGAGAGTTACCAAGGAAGTGAAGGCTTCAGGAGCCAAGATCTAGGAGAGAAGAAAAACCCAGCAAAGCAAACCTAACATCGGATGCCTCTGCTTTCCCTTTAAAGGCATTTACTGATGCATTTACTGACTTGACATCAGTAGCTAACAGGCTGAGAAGATGAACAAAGCTTCTGGCCATCTCACAGGATGGAGGGAACAGAAGTTGGCATTTAGGGTCTGTCAAGAAAGGGGGCCCTGGAACAATCTTCTGACTTAAATTGGAACCCTTAAAGAGCAAAACCCTATGAGTAAGAGTTGACAAGAAATAGATCTGCCTTCAGGAAGCCCAGCTTTGAGTCAACCCAAAATATGATCGGAATAAAGTGATCTGCTCCTTACCTTTACTGCCTGCTTTTTTTGGAAGGTTACAACATTTAAAGCCTCATACTCCAAAATTTTTTATACATAATGTTTGGCATTTGAACAAGCATAATCAGGCAAGCAAAAACCCAAGGAGAAAACAGAAAAAAGACAATTTAAAAATCCTTAATATATTTTGATACTCCATAATATATTCTGATACTGGAGTCAGACAAAAATCAGGAGAAAAAAATACCTCTTCAAAAATTTAATCAGATGAGTGTAAGGATAATGCTAAATTAGCTGCTTTCAAATATAATCATTTTCTGAAAAAAAAAATTGAAAACTTACCCTTCCAGCAAACAACCTCACATTGTGTCCACTTAAAAAAATGCAGTGAATTTCTAAGAATTATTTTGAGATTGAGAAGAATGAAACAGAAAACCTCTAGAGCTTTCTTTTTCCCATGATTATCATAACTTCGTAAAGGGCTTTTGGGGAGATTTTCTTGGACACAAAAAATCACTGACTTTATTCCAAAAATTTTAATCAACTGTCCTATGCAATTTACATGAAACAGCAGATTCCACTTGGATTTTTACTACTCTTAGTTTTTTAAAAGCATCATGGAATAGATTTTTTGCTAATAAAATACAACCATTTGGGGGCACCTGGGTGGCTCAGTTGGTTAAGCGACTGCCTTCGGCTCAGGTCATGATCCCGGAGTCCCGGGATCGAGTCCCATATCCGGCTCCCTGCTTGGTGGGGAGTCTGCTTCTCCCTCTGGTGCTCTCTCACTCTCTCTCTCAAATAAATAAATAAAATAAAATCTTTTAAAAAAATCTTTAAAAAATAAATAAAATACAACCATTTTGACTATAATAGACTAACAATTATTTCTTCATCAATTGTTCCATTCATTCATTCATTAGAAACTATTAACATCATCATTAGAACAAGAATGAATTTTGATCATCACAATCAAATGGATTTGGTTTTGACCTAAGTACAGGAAAAAGAGACCATATTATGCTTTTTAACTCTCAAGAAAGAAAGCAATACATGGATAATAATGCAGGATATATTTTAGGCTTGATACAATTTTAAACATAACTATAGAATTAAGTAACCTAATGCAGAAACCAAGTTCATCTCAGATATGGCAACAGATATGTGGACAACAACATTTGAGGGGGGAAAAGTCTATGATCTAAGACCGCTAAGAGTTTGTAAGTGATTGAGTGCTTTACTGGCTATCTGCCATTCTTTAGATGTCTTCCATTAAATCTGAGTATTTCATCCATTTATCTTGGTAAATGAAATTTATCAACAATATTTAGTTTTTCATTTTTATCTAGAGCTGAATTAACTCTATCCCATCACATCAACCAGACTGCAAGATGAGAGAACCAGAATCTTTTCACGAAAAAGAGGTTGGAGAGGGACCAAAAGAGACTTGCTTCCAAAATAATTCGAACAAATAGAGGTAAGTAGGTAAATAGTAAGTGCTATTGGTAGATGATGGCTTTAGTGTGACATTCCTGTCCTGCAGTTATTTACAATTGAAGAACATGGTATTTCTCTCAGATAGACCATAATTAGCAGAGAAATATGTTAGTTCTCCTTAGAGAGACCTCATGGCTCCAAAGGCAGCAGGATCTAACTAAATTGACTCTGTTAATGTGCCTAAAGAAGAAATATGTCTATGAAAGAGTGAGCTATAGAGGTGTGGAAAAAGAAGCCATTTCTGGCCAGTTCTGGTAAGATTCAAGTAAATTAGGCCAGAAGAGTCTTCACTAAGCACAAGGGAACATGATGATCTTAGAACAAGATTATTCTTCTGGTGGGTCGGTGTCTCAGCTTCGTCAGCAGCAGAGAATCACTTCAAATTTGTTCTGAGTTTCAGAGAACTTAACTCTAGGTGAAGTATTTGCCCTTTAAGTCAGGATCTAGAACCATGAATCCAGATGACTATCAGCCAACTGCCACAAGAAGTGTATGTCTTCAGGCTACTGATACTCACTTCCCAAAGTTGATTCATTTACTTGTAAAGTATGGATAGAGTTAAAATGTTATAATTTTTAAAGCCTTATAATTCACATAACTTGTTCTAAGAAAACTTCAATGTATATGTGAGAAAAATCATGTATCTGTTGAAGATACGTATGTAGCTCCAATCAAACTGGACCATTTTACTCCTTGCAATCTGAAGATCCAAATCTGCACTGGGGAACATTAAAAACAGACAGAACCTTTGAAAACCAACATGAATACCTTTGGAAGCTCTTGAAGCAGGCAGCAAACTGAACCAGGTAGAGTTGGGATGGGGAGGAAGGGTAGGAGTGCTCCTTTCCTGACAAATTCTAACCTTATCCCCTGCAAGATCTCTTTCTCCTCGGAGTCCATTCATTAGATTGGTTGCTCATTCATTCAGCAAACATTTACTGAGAATTGACTGCGCTAGAGGCACTCAGGCTTTATCAGCAGTTCCCTCAATCTTTCTCTTGTCTTCTCTCTGCACCCTACTTCCCTCTTAAACCATTCTTAACCAACAAGAACTCTGTATCAGTGAACAACTTGTAACCATTTCTAATATGTACCTACTTAGTCACTTTGTCTTCTTCCAATTCCATTCTTTTTTTTTTTTTTTAAAGATTTTGTTTATTTATTTATTTGACACAGAGAGAGAAACAGCATGAGAGGGGATAGGGTCAGAGGGAGAAGCAGGCTCCCCACCGAGCCAGGAGCCCAATGTGGGACTCAATCCCAGGACTCCGAGATCATGACCTGAGCCGAAGGCAGTCGCCTAACCAACTGAGCCACCCAGGCGCCCTAATTCCATTCTTTTTTGATTACCCTGATGAGCACAGCAAAGGGCTGTGCTTAAAACTTAAAGGTTTTGTCTCTTTTACATATTGTTTGCCTATACTATGCTCTATCAGATTTTCAGGCATATTCATCAAATATTTTCTCATGAAATAGTCTCATAAATGCTACCATTTAGTTTAAATTTAGAATGACTTTAGAAATCTGTTTTTATTGGGAAAGTAAATGTTTGCAAAAGTAAACCGATATTACAGTGTTCCATTTTTTACTAAGCAAGGCAAATTTTCACCTACCCACATCATAGCAAATAACACTCTCTCTCCATTCTGTAACTCCTCTTATGATTTATTTTAGTAGAATTTATCAAGTGGCATGATGTGTCATTATGAAAATCATCAGGAGAAATTTCCCTTTGATACTTTTTGGTGCCTGGAAGCAAAACCTCTCTCCGGTTAGATTTCTAGGACCAACTCACCTGTCAAACAGTTCTCCTCCCGTGACCAGTTCTAGGACCAGACTGATTTCTGTAGGGGTTTCAAATATCTCTTTAAGTTTTATCTGGGGAAAGATATTAAAAAATAAATAATAAATTCCTTATTTTCAACTTTCTAGGAAAAAGCTAATGCTATGACTAAAATAACACTCTCTGTAATAGTAATACATTGGATCATTGTCAATAAAGGTACCACATTCTGGTAACAAGAAGCCATCTGTCACTCTCTGGTTGTTTTTATCGGTTACCTCATTTCCTTAAAGGTCCTTTTGAGTTTTTATATTTTTTCTTTTGACAGCTGAAAGCTGAAAGATACTTAGAAACACTTCCTAAATTTTGCCAGAACATCACAATTTCTGAATTGCTCTAGAATTAAAAAACAAAAGCAAGCAAACAAAACTTGAACCATTTGAAAGCATCATGGTTCCTAGTGATGCAAATGCCTCTTTCTCCTGAAAGCGAACTTGGAATTGGGATCTGAGGCAGAATGGGACCAGGGTAAAGTCTGTCATGTCAATTTCATGTTGTGATTAATAAAAACATTTTCTTCTTCTTCTTCAAAAAAGTCTGTCTGTACAGAAAGGATATCTCTCAACAGCAAAAAAGTTGCTGGTGGATAAAGGGATCCTCAGAAAAGTAGGGATGGCATTGATTTGATTGACTATGGGTTTACATCACATTCAGATAATCCATCCAATTTTGGATATTTCCCTCAATATATCGGAGAATCTACTGACCAGGGCTGATCTACATTTGAGGAAAATTTCACACTGGCTTTTCACTGAAAGAAAAAGGTGGATAATGTAAAAGTGGTGATTGTATGCGGTAAATTTTGTTTATTGCTTACCCAAAGCTCCTTCCCCCTACTTTACTGCAAACAGATTTTGTTTAGGGAAGCAAGGTGCCTAGCCTCAAATTATGGATCATGATTGGTCTAAGCCATTTATGATAATTCTGTTCCCCAATTTTCCAGTCTCTGTGCAGTGAGGAGTGATGATCTTGTGGCCAGCTCTGGCCAATAAAATCTGAAGAGAATTTTGCTGCAGCTCTAAGTTCTAGAAAAGCCTCTCCTCTTCTCTTCATACTCTGTTGGTGAGGCCCTTCCAATTCTCTCTCTAGAGTATAGACTTGAAGACTTGTGAAGACTGTGGAGCAGCCATTTAGGACCATGAAGGAAAAGCATGAGGGTGGAAGATGTCTAGGTCCTGAATGGCATCACTGAGGAGCTGAACCAATGCTAGCAACTGTCTGCCTTCTGATTATAACATAAAGAAAATATTTGTTTGGACTACCGTATTCAAGTTTTCTGTTACTTATAGCTGCCTACATTGCTAACCCATATGTTAAGTTTTAAGCACTTTGCTTGGAGCCTAACTAAGCACTGCAGGTTAGTCATCCTCCTGGACACCACAACTTTCTCAAAGAAATGAGTAAAATATTTTCTTTAAGTAGTTGGCACAATTCAAGTTATGGCCTGGAAAATGATTTTGTTCTTTTCACTTCATTGGCTCAAGAAAGCTTTTGCCAGACCTTTCCCTCAGCTCCTTTGTCTGGACATAGCCTAGAGCAGAGATTCTGAGGACATTTTATTTTTCCCATTCAAGTACATCATTTATTTGAATCCTCACATTGTTTCTGAAGTAGATATTCTCTCAAAGGAGACTGAAATGACTTTGGAAAGCAATGCATTTTCTTCACAGGCTTTTTCAGCAATGGCATATTAATAAGATAGGCACACAAAAGGGAAAAGCCCGTGTTTTATTAGAGTGAAACAAAACTCTTCAATTTTTAGTTATCCTTTTATGCATGAAAACAAAGATGGTATATATTACTGAAACTTGTTCCATTTTGAAACTCATTCGAGTGGTATTATTTTTAAGATTTATTCAGCTAAGGAAATGAAAAATGTGATCACATGAGGACAGGAGGTAGACCACAGTGGCTACCTATTAGTGGTGGAAGTATCCCCTTCTCATTATCAGCACTGGCAGCAAAGAACAAAAATGCCAGTCTACAACTTTGAAGATTATTTGAAATAGTAGATTAAAAACCACTTACAATGTTTGGATGTGAGAGGCGAAGAAGAACTCCTATCTCAGTTCTTACAATTTTTTTGTCCACCTAGAAGGCAAAATGAAAGAGAGAAACTGAAAGAAACTCCCACCTTAGAAATGCCTTAACTGTAGCAGAGAATCAGAAACGGCAGTAATCATCTGGGTCAATCAGGTAATTGGCAGAGAGGCTCATTCTTAAGCTTTTTTGTGTCTCTTTCCAACCCCCCCCCCCCACCCTTTTCAGTTGTATGTCTTTCTTCTCTGCTCCAGACATAAAGTAGAACTAGTTCTAAATGTGGAGCACAACTTGTCAAACCTCTTGCATGGCCCTATTTCAAAAATCACTGCTCTCACCACTAAGGCACAAGTTCATCTCAACCTGTCTCCTCCTCCTCTTCTTTTCTGTTATGAATCCCTGTCCCAAACCCACTGGAGCTATCAATCACTTCACCCGCCTTTCTCACACAGAGGTGGGCACATATCCCAGCCGAATCAATCAGAATCCCCTTCCCGGGCCACCGTGATTGGGTCAGGGATATCCGCCAGACCCAAGTCGTTCCAATCAGGGCCCTCCCCAGAACTTTTGCTCACATAATCAAGAAAGAGGTATTCGTTTTTTCTCTGAAATTGTGAGAGCAAAAGAGGACAGAGTCTGCCACTATCAGTGACCATTTTTAATACTCTACTTGTATCAAATGAAAGATCTTTGAAAAAGAGAGGCATTGCTAGAACAGGCAGATGACACTGACAGAGCTCTTCCAAAGAGTTCTTGCCTCACGCTCTAGTTCAGTTTCTGCAGATGTTTATGAAGAAAATTTGGACACAGATTATCTTTATTTTTTAATTATTATTTTTATTATATTTCCTGCTGTATTGAGGTATAATTGGTACCCCCCAAAAAACACACATAATTAATGTATATAATTTGGTGAGTTTGGGCATACATATATGCTTGTATTATCATCACCACAAGGTAAATCAACATAACCTCCAAAAGTTTCTTGTGTCCTTTTGTGTTGCACGTGTGTGTGTGTGTGTGTTTGTGATAAGAACACTTCAAATGACATCTATCCTCTTAACAAATATTTAAACGCACAAGGCTTTATTGTTAACTATAGGCATTATGTCGTACAACAGGTATCTGGCACTTACTCACACTGTATAACTGTAACTTTATACCCCTTGAACAACTCCCCATCTTCCCCTCACTCATCCACTGGTAACCATGATTTTATTGTTTACTTCTATGAGTTGGACTATTTTAGATGTCTCATATAAGAGGAATCATGCAGTGGATACAAATTGTTTTTTTTTTTTTTAAAGATTTTATTTATTTATTTGACAGAGAGAGACACAGTGAGAGAGGGAACACAAGCAGGGGAAGTGGGAGAGGGAGAAGCAGGCTTCCCGCGGAGCAGAGAGCCCGATGCGAGGCTCGATCCCAGGACCCTGGGACCATGACCTGAGCCGAAGGCAGACGCTTTAACCGACTGAGCCACCCAGGCGCCCCTACAAATTGTTTTTATCACAACCTTCTCTTCAGGTTAATAAGGATTTCCTCACTATTACAAAATAAATCTATTTTTCATTATTGCATAATGCTTTAAAAATTTTTAATAAAAAAAAAGAACCTAAGCATTTCTTATTTAAGACTGTTAGCATTCAAAACTAATGTAACATTGTATGTCAACTATACTTCAATAATAAAACTTTTTTTAAATAGTAAAAAAGACTGTTAGTATTCAAATTTATTTTTTCACTACACTTTTAGAGTTTATGCAATATAAAGTTTCCCTCTTGTTTTCATATATTTCTAATCAATATAAAAAAAGTCAGTGGGATCCTTTAATTTTTTCATATATTTATATTAAACAAAAGCTTTTCTAATACAAATACACATTTTAAGTAAATTTATTTTTTACCATGTTATGTCCCATATATTACATGTTGGGATGACTTTTAAAAATTTTTTATTATATTTTAGTTCCTTGAGAGTTAATTTATCTGAACTCTGGAAATACTCAGAACACACCAGATTATCTGGACAAGCAATCTTCTAATATAGTTATTTGTTTTGAATTCAGAATGAATTTCTCTTTAAAAACAATTTTTAAAAGGAAAATTATTTTTCCAGCGTACTCCAGATCAGTGGTTCTCAAAGTGTTACGGGAGAACACTTTAGGGCCCCTGAGATTCTTTCAGGTCATATGTGAGGCTATCCCCTTTTTCAGTTACATATTTGAATGAGGCTAGATTTTTATCTATACTTGAAATAAAACAACAAATTGAATGCAGAAGCAGATGAGAATCAAACTGTCTTCTCTTTTTTCTTTCAAACTGTCTTCTATTAAGCCAGACAGCAAAGAGATTTTTTAATAATGCTACTCTTCTCTAGGTATTTTTTAATTTTAGAAAATCTAGTTATTTTTCACAAAAATACTATTTATGTTAAAATGTAATGGGTTTATTATTATTATGTTTTTAATTAATAAGTACTTTTAAAAATTCTGTTCTAATCTCTAATATAGTAAATGTGTATAACTATTTGGAATTCTTAATAATTTGAAGAGTATAAAGGGCTCCTAAAGCCCAAAAGCTTGGGAACTACTACTCCAGAATATTTAATGTCATACAATTTAAAATAGAAAGCAGACAGAAAAGAACAAAAATTTAGTAATAATTAAATGAAAGAAAAAATGTGAACACAGTCTCCTCTCTCTTCCCTTCAATGAATGCTGGAGTCCCAGTTGAATGAGGTGCAGGTCATGACTTCAGAGGAGGCTGACAAGGGAGAAGCAGGTAAGAATCTTAGAAGAGGGATCTTAGAGAAAAATGGGGCATGAAAAACCAAAGAGAATAAGTGGACTGACAAAACCTGGACTACAAGTCAGAGTGATGCCAACCAAAGAAACCAAGAGCAGGTAGAGTTGAAAGGGAGAAGCTGACAAAAGAGAAATGGACAGATAAACGAGTGATATGCCAGGACAAGACAAGACTGAGGTCAGAAAGTCTTTCCCAGAGAGATAAACTGAGGGCCATTTGCTATCTTTTTGAAACAAAGTCTCAGAGTTCCTAGGTGGTCCTGCTTTGGGGAGTGGTTCCTCCACAGGTATCACATCTTGAAGGTCACACAGGTGTGCCTCTTCCCTGTCATATCATCTCACATCTTTCCTATATTCCTCTTGTTCCAGAAATTAGTGTTTCATGCCCACTCTGACTTCTCCCTCCAAGCCCCTGGGAAGGCCAGGAGAGAGACTGAGCCCTTATCTTACCACTCAGCATCAGTGATGTTTTTCTAGAAAATAACTGTCAAGCCTACCACAAAAGTCATTGGGCAGCTATCTGAACAGTCATTACTGTGACCTGGAATTAGCTTCCAAGTGCTACTATAATTAGCATCTTCAGAAGCACCAACAGATGGTTTTAACAAATAAATATTACAAAATTGAAACCCATAAAATTACCTTCACTATTTACAAAATACCTTGAAGAATGGTAGTTTTTTATTACTAACAATTCACAATTATAAAATATATAATGTATATTACTAAAATTCTAAGTTAGGGGATGTATTTTAGCCCAGGTCCCCCAGCAAACAAATGTGAGGCAAGTATCAACATGCTGGTGTTTTATTTGGAAGGTGCAGTTAGAGCAGGGACACAGGGAAGTCCAACAAGGTAAGAGGTGACACAGTGCAGCCAGCACACTGGCCACTGTGTCATAATGAGTTGTAAAGAAACAGTAGGTCATATGGGCAGTTGCATCCACCTGGCACAGAGTACTTGTCCAGAGGAGCTGTACCAGGCCATCGTGCCTTGAAGAAGTTCATAGGAAAGAGGGAGAATTCACCTACCTTGGAACCTACTCCTCCTGTTGCCCACAGGTGGAAATCTGGCCCTACGGTGGTAACTTCTCCAGACTTTTAGGTTGCCTATCCAGTCTCTTCAGCAGTTGTGATGCCATACTCCTTCTCATGAGGTGTTATATCTCATTCAAATCTAGAAGTGGCTAGAAGGGCCAGAAGTTTCAGCTGTGTGTCTGGTTGGCCTAACTGCATGCTGTGGACAGTGGGCAATGAAGCTCTCCCAGGTCCGGACAACTGGTAGACAGAAGGAATCTGAAGAAGCCCAAAGGAGTTTGTCCAGTCACAGTGCCTTCTTAAGTTTTTTATCTATCATAACGTAAGCCAGATTGACAACTATGGAATTACAGTCCTGCCTCCTTAGTTTACTGCATTTTACTGCTAATCAGATTATTAAGAACTTTGTCTTCCACTTATATTGTTTTATTGTTCTAGTTGTCAATTTGAAATGGATTGGGCACTTGGGGTTTTTCTTAAAAACTCTTTTAGCTCCTCTATTTAAATTGCCCTAAATATTCAAAAAATATCTCCTTTTCATTGCCATGAAATCACCTTTGAAACATACAATTTTAATGGCTTTTGAAATACTTTCAATATAAAACATACCTTTTGAAGATTATACATAAGAAAAAAATTAATAAAACAATTTAATAAAAGTGGTTAGTATACAGATGTGTATGGTTTTAAAACTCCACAGAACTCCAGATTCCTTTACATCGAAAGAAATCCCAATTTTACTATCTTTCTCCATGGGGGGAGAAAAAGAAATGGGTAAAAGGCATAATTCTAGAGCAACATCAGAGAAAAAGCCTCCATCACTGGAATAGAGTTAATCAAACATGGACCCTTCATTAAGATATACAGCAGATATACTCCCATGCTGGGGCTGAGAAGGTTGCAGAAAAGAAGGGAGAAAGGATTGAAAGATATGTGAAGAAGAAATAATGAGGACTTAGGGAAAGAAAAGGAAACCAGTTTCTGCACTGTGGGAATGATGGATAGAAGCAGAAGTGGTAAAGGAATTGAGGAGAAGAAGATTTTTTAACACCAGATTTCTGGTGGACTTGAGCCACTTGGGCATCTCAGATGTGGCCTAGATCTGGACTCTGGGATTTTAAATATTCTTGGTGGGTTGGGGTAAGCTGTGTGAGTAGAGACTACTGCTCTACTTCTAGGATTCAGTCAAGTACAGTGGCATTTCCACA